GATTATAATACTTATTTTTAATTATTATTATACATAAATAGAGTTTTAAATGAAATAAATGTCTCAATTCAGAAAAATAATGAACTATCTTAAATTTTCACAATCAATCATCATCATCATCGTCAGCCTATCAGAGCCCACTGCTGAGCTGCCTCTTTTCACATGGAGAAGGTTTGAGCATTAACCACGCTTGCTCAAGACGGGTTGGTGATTTGAATTAAAAAAAATAATTCTTACATTGCAACTGAATTATAATAAAGTAATGAATGAACGGGTTTTTCGTTCATTCATTCAGTGAATGATATCCGAGCGAATGAATAATCTCGAACAACTTAAGTTGTAGATTCTCAAAGCGTACAGATAATTGTCAACTAGCGATTAAACACGTATTGACTCCAAGCCAGTTACTCAGTTACATCCTTTAAGGACATATGATATTAAAATGACTTAAAATAAATTCTCACAAGATATATAAAACCTCTTTTCTTTATAAATTCATTATAAATATCTTAAAAGTAAAACCTCAATTATATTGCAATTTCCTGAACCATTAGTTTGGATGCCCAGTTAGCGGATGAATTATAATAGTTTCTTAAAACCAATATGGCGGATTCCCAAAACAGCTGATGCTATTAATATCGTATCAGTTTTAAAATTGTTTTTGTAGATCCGATTAAATCACGTGAAGTTTCTTCCAATAATTTTTTTATTCATAATATTCGAATAATTTATTATAAAATGAGATTAAAAACTTTCGTTAGTTTTATTCATTTAAATAAAACTATAATTTTTGGGATATAGTACTTTATTTTTTTTTATACTACACGGGCAGACGTGATCACGGTTACTGAAAAGTAGAAGAAACATCTTGAGTATGTAGTTTATAAAAAAAGCAAGGGAAGTATATTCGAAAACTATTATTTTTATTTAATTTAGTACATAATTATAGTATTTGATAATTTTTCTTGTATAATTCTCGTAGGTTCTCTAGTTAAATCAATATCTATCCAGACGATATATTATGCAACGTTTATCCAAGTCGCCCGTTTGATGGGTGACCATTAAGTTAATACAATGATGGAATACTCATAATTAGCCCATCTAAGGAGCTATTAATTCTAACTCATTAGAGAAGTTTCTTTTACCAGTCGTTTAAGTACTATGCAGGGTCAAACTAAATCCCAAACGTTTGTAACAAGATCCAATTATGAAGAATAAATGAATTTACTCTTAAATAACATACGGTCAAAGGTTTATCAGTTATCTGTTGCTTTAAACATTGTATCAAAGTTACTGTTGAGTTATGGATGGATTTGAAAGAATATCATTTTAAATATAATTGTTAATTCGATACTTACTATCGAGTTATTTTACCTTTAAATTTGGATGGCATTATAGTTAAAGTTTATAAGCTACACACACAAACAAAAACAGACACACACACACACATACATATATTAGTCATTAATGGGATGTAAGGAATTAGGATGTTTAATTTTTAATAATTCCCATATAAAATATGTACCTACTCCAGTTTAATTTACTCGTCATATGTAATCAGTTTTACGTCTAATGTACCAAAACATTAACGAAACCAATCTTATCTTGACTCAAATAATACATATATAATGCAGTAAATCAATACGCTGTCGATACATCATCGGAGATTTACAACCAACCCAAACCAACGATATATTAGGAGCTAAAGTGGACAATATAACGGGCTACAAATCAGGCTAATTTATGTCTTAATTAAAATATCCTTGGGGTCAGTGTTAGCCTAGTGGTTAAAAGGCCCGCTTCTCATGCACTAGGACGTCGGTTCGATCCTGGCAAGTACTTTCTAAGAGTATTTAGACATCACTGAAAGATGAAGGAAAACATCGTTAGGAAACCTGGACTTATAATATCACAATTATAAGTTTGAAAGCACCAACACGTTTTGAGCAAGCGTGGTGATTAATGCTCAAACCTTCTTCATGTGAGAAAGAGGCCTTTGCTCAGCAGTGGACTCTGATAGGCTGATGACGACGATAATGATAATGAATAAACAGTATCGAGTTTAATTCACAATTAAATGAGACAAGTTTTAAGTTGCAGCTAACTAAAAGCCAAACGCAAGTTGACTCAACGTAAACAAAGTTATGTTACTCGAAATATACACAGAGTTAATGCAATAGGAAACAGAGAAATGGAGAAATTTATATGAAATACTTTGATATAATATTCATGATTAAAGTTCCACTGAATTCACTGTATATAAAACTAACGTTTGTATTTAATTTTAAGTTTTAAAACTTTGGAATGGAAGCGGAATATCTTTGTTATGTGTATAAGTCGTCTCTTTTAAATTAATTTTTGGTTAAAAATTCAGTAATAAATAATAATATTAGTATTTCGAGTTACTTTATTCTCACTGAACAGTTTTATTATATACTAGAAGACCTGGCGAACTTCATATCGCCCTATAATCAAGAAATATCTGTTACGTTTTTTTTATTTATATTTTTGGAGTTTACCTGTAAGCCATAAATCTCCGTGTTTTGAAGTGCGACAGAATGATTGACATATTAGTTAGTTGTCAAATCTAATGTCAAAAAAAACGTTTGTATGGGAAATAGAAAAGAGCTGTTTTTATGGTTTTCCCAGTAACGAATCAATTTTTTTCAGCTTTTATACCTTCCCTGAACCTCCACGAACATTTCAAGACTAAGATAAGATAAATCCGTTCAGCCGTTCTCGAGTTTTAGCGAGACTAAGGAACAGCAATCCATTTTTATATATATAGAAGATACTTTATTTATTTATCGAAATATTAATGCTTCATCGACGTACCTAATGTATTCAAAATAATTTCCTAGTACTGTTGAGGTATTTTTTCTTATTCCGACTAAGACTAACAAAGTCTGAACATTTGACTATTATGATTTAGCAACTTACATTAATATCAAATGTATAACGACATTTTAAACTGTATTATTACAATGTCTACCTAATTACTTATTCTTGTTAGTAAAGAATTATACTTTTCTTCTAGATTTTTATATGTGAGATTGAATGTAGTATGTGTATAAACATGAAAATTGTTCTTATTGGATAAACTGTGATTATATTATGATTAGAATTTCATTAAAGGTTACGTTGGTCAATCTATTTTTACTAATACGCTAACTCCGCCCTCATGTAATGGTAATATATATATATATATATATATATATAGAGTGCTTAATTAAAGTCGAGTTAAGTCACGATGGCTTAGTTGATAAAACACTTGAATGAGATATTCTGGAGGTTACCGGTTCGATTCCTGATCTATGAAAGGTATAATATTTTCTTATTCACCTTATATTGGCTCAACAATTATTTTATTATGGAAACAATATTTAATACAAATAATTTCTGAAAGAGTAAAAATTTACCAACAACAAGCACTGTTTTATTATTTTTTGCATTCAACTCAATTATCTCATTACACATATTGACTTAAGTAAAAGATTCACTTATATAAATAATGTTTGTATAAACAAACAGAAAGTTTAACTGAATACAATTTTTTACTTATTTTAATTGAAATCGAAAACAAATTCAGAAATTATTGTAACATTTTGTTCTTACGATTTATCTTCTATTTGCTAAATAATTTGTAGCAGAATTAAATTGTACACGCAAAATGCATCCTTTTCTATTTAATTGCTTTAAAAGGTCTTCTCTATATATTATTATTTTGTTGTTATTTTTGCCTGTATGCAGACGTATGAAGACTTTTTTGATTTCGAGTGATCTCACGAAAAAAGACTTGAGTGACGTGATGACAAGACTAACCACGAATGTATCACCAACAATACCTTTTCATGAAATTTGTTTTTGAAACATGTTGTATCTATGAAAGAATTTCCTTTGCTTTGTACTTTTATTTTATTAATAAATAAATAAAGTTTAAATGTTTATTTGTGATTTCTTTATTGTAAGAATCCATTTCTTCCTACAAAAAATTACAACACCGTTTTTCGGAGGAAAGATAAACAGCTTAATTGGAACGATCTTTGAAAGATTAAGTTTTAATGAAAATTTTTTCCTTAATCACTGAACCCAGCAACTGGCTGAGACACTTTTATAATTCTTTTGTTAAGATTTAGCATTAACCGAAATCAAGTTAGAAACTTTGTGTAAAAGACTAATTTATCGACATCTTGTTTGAATGAGTTCGGCTCTAGTAAATAATTGCTTTTAAAAACCTTTTTTTTAAATTCAATGATTTATTTAATTTCAATAATTCAACTTCCATGCTAATTGAGTTAAATGAAATAAATAAAAATGTTTATGTTATTTAAGTATCTTTGATCTTGAGGATAAAAGTAAAACAGATAATAAAGTATCCTAAGAATTTTAATGGAATTTGAAATCATTTATTAACTTTGTAATAATTAAACAGACACTTATTTAACTACTATAGAGAATAGTAGTAACAGTACATTAGAAAATATTTTCGGAACTTTTGTACGAAATACATAATTGTAAAAAAACATTTGTTATATGCTAAACTTATTTTCATATAACTTCACTGCCTAAGTAGGTACTATTTTAAATTATTATCCAATGCTAACAAAAGTAATAACTATTATAATTTTGTATATAACTTATAATATTATATACATCGGGCAAATGGAAAAGTATGGATTTTAAACGTTGTATTTACTTATAGTACAGTAATGTATCTAAATGGATTTCACGTGTTAATATCGAAATTCTCATAACATATAAGTATTATAACAGTCTCCTTTGTTTCAGATAAAACGGCCGACACCAACCTCATATACTAAAAAGCGCCATCACTTTAGCGCGTTAGTTAGTAAAACAAATTTTATTATAAGTGTACCAGTGCCAAGTACATTGAAACTTGAATGCCTTTGAGGACTATATATTTTAGTGCGGACTGTGATATAGATAGCTATAGATAGCTATAGATAGCTATAGATTGGTGTATAGTGTGCGTGTCCAAGATTGAGGTGGCCGGGTGCGTGTGGGGTAGGCGGGCCCGGGTGCGGCCGCTGCAGGCTCTGGGTCGTACGGCCGGTATGCTAGCGACGCAGAGATCGCAGTCTTGTAACGAGGAAGGAGCGTTCTTTGGTGCGAGGGCGCTCCGACGGCCGCGCGGGAAGGGCAGTGGGAGCCCGCCCTGCTAGGGGTACGCCATGTCGCTGCGCAGCCTACACCGGAGGCTATCCTCCGCCAACAACACGTGAGTTACATTCAATATATAATATCCTTTTAATCTTAATATATACCATGTGATCTGGCATAAGACAAGTATGCTAAGAGAAGCTAATACAACTGTGTTTTGTTTTTCGGAAGAACCGCAGGCTATCCTCCGCCAACAACACGTGAGTTATATACAATACATATCATTATTATAACCTTAATATAGACCATGTGATTTTTCTCGATCTGGGTACTAGAAGTATGCTAGAAGAAACTGTTAAACTTGTGTTTTGTTTCTTTTGGAGGCTTATTTCTCTACTATGTTGTGAATGCACTATTCACTACTTCTAGTATCTTCGCAAATCGCTACAAACCCAGGATTATTCAGGTTTTTCATATATCATTACATTGACATCTAAAGGCTATGTGAATCATTTAATTATTGGTCTTTTATAATATATTTAATGAATATAGGTACATACGTTTTTACCCAAAAAAATACGTTATAAGATTAAGAAGCAATTCTACTAGGACTGATACAATCTATTATTACAAATTTTGTATCAAAAGTAACCTTTAATTCAAATTGTTATATATATTAAAGTATGAATATAACTTCTTTAATAAACAATTTCTAATTAACGATTTTTGGTTTAGCCATTATTATATATATTAAAATACGTAAACTCCGTTTTAAACTAATTCAGAAAGATAGATGTTTTATTCATGAATCGTTTTATCTTACTTAATAATTTCTATGGAGTTCTTTGTTTTCTATGTCTACGTACACGGTTTAGTGATTCAGTCGAAGTTTGAGTTACGCTGAAGATCCGCTTTACTGGGGCTGATCAAAACGCCCAACGATGGTCCTCATAGGGAGGAGAATATTCAATTACTGGGTAGCGTATGGCAAAAACGTATTTGGGATCCTGCTTTGCGAATAACAACCCTACTGGAATACAATACCATGCATTTTTCCATAAACGATTGAAAGATGTTTTGCGTAGGTTGTTTGTCAGCGTTTAATTTATGTAAATTGGTATCACAGAAGTAATAAGAAACACACATTTATGGTGAATATCCCTTTAACGCCAAGTTGGATATTAATGTGTTTGTTCATATTGATATGTATGGAATATTAACTATAGGTTTACAATAAAAACAGAAATATAAGGGTTTCCATAGTACTGCAATTTCAGTACTACGGAAATGTTCTTAAGCCGTTATTGTTCTTTACAAAAGATCTCCAGTTACAAGCTATCTATAGGAAACTGCACAAGTTTCCTGAAAGCTTACTAAAACAGTACAAATTTACTTGATCATACTAGAAAGTGATTGCATTTTACTAATTTTACTAACGTAAGCAATTATTATGCATAGTAAACATACCTATAGAAGTTTTTTATTTCATAGTTCCTTGAAAAAATCACGTCATGTAATCAGGCTAAGCACATACAAGCTCAATGCACCAATAACATTAATTCTAAAACTCTGATTATTATAAATAAACCAATGAAAGACGCTCATTAAATTTCCTAATTCTCAGCAAAAACAGGTTCACCAATGACCAAGCTTTACCAAATAACAAATAATCTTTGATCCGGTAAACTCACGTTTGGGGCAGATATTGAATTAGGTCACGTGATACTGGAAATGCTGGCAAGAACCCAGAACTACAACAGGTAAAAACGGTCGATATGACCAAGGTCCTACCATGATTAATGTCTTCCTATCGTTTTGTACGTAATGGCTAAGCTATGTTATGATCGGCCCGAAATAACCTTGCAATTTTCAACCACTCAAATCTTTGAGGTTTTGAATCTGTTCTAATTTATATGAATAATTAAGGCTAGTTTAGAAATTACGTATGGAATGAGGAAAATTGATTTTACATTCCATTACAATTCCCAACGCTCTTTCTTAGTCACGTCACTGAGCCTCATTAATGCATATGTATTTTTTGAGCAATCTTTGTAATGTGTTTTTCGTATAATGGAAACGAAATATTCTTATAATACATCGAATTAATAATACGAAATTTGTTATATAAAATGTAACATTTTGTGTTTCAAATCATATCATATTTATAAACAATATCTATCTTACAATTTTATTCCGAATTTAACGTCCTTGTTTAAGAATGTATTCTTTATAAAACTAAAGATTTATCAATTATTATATCCAATGTTTTTAAATATAATTCACATCGTGAGGAAACCTGGATTTATAATTTCACAATTATAAGTCTGAAATCACTAACCCGTATTGAGCAAGCGTGGTGATTAATGCTCAAACCTTCTCCGTGTGAGAAGAGGCCTTTACTCAGCAGGGGGCTCTGATAGGCTGAAGATGATACCGCAGTGTGATCACAACGAGCTTGAAAATATATAGAAACTTCATGTAAGCATATTATCCATACTATAATATTATAAATGCGAAAGTAACTCTGTCTGTCTGTCTGTCTGTTACGCTTTCACGCCTAAACCACAGAACTAATTTTAATGAAATTTGGTACAGAGATAGAGTTGACCTTGAAAAAGAACATAGGATAGTTTTTATCCCAGACTTTTGAAAGGTTCTGTTGGAAACGCGATATAACCGGACTCCACGCGGGCGAAGCTGCGGGCGGAAAGCTAGTATAAACCAAATACTACATAGCTTGTTTTCGTAGACGGTGCGACAGTTTTAGCATTCCGTAGTTCCGTAGCAATGTTTTCCTTGATGCCTACGGAATAGCTTACAGTTTCACAATTATAAACTCTCCGTTAATAGCTTAAAGCTTAAACTCGTTTGATATTTGTGTATTAGCTTCGTAAGGTCTTTGCCCAGCACGAGGGTCACACCGCAAAGTGGATTCCAAACCGCTTAGAATGTATTTCCGGAGCCGTTATGTACAACTTACGTAGATATGTACTCGAGTTTGAGTGAATTTAGCTTTTATGCGTCCCTTCAGAGAACTCGTCAGCCGTCTTATTATATTGAGTTAAGATCAAAGAACAAATTTTGAGCACAAATCCTGAAATGTTCACGATATTTTTCATCAAATAGGTATTACTTATATATTATATAATGTAAGTTGCATGTATATTCTTCGTATATATTAGGCGTGAGAAACACCGTCATTTATTTTTGGAAGGATTAAGAAACAAACTCTGGTAGTACGTAGTCATAAACTTTCCTTTTAATAATATTAATAGATTTTTAACCTTATATATGTAATAAAACATTTAGTAAGAAACATAGAACATATGTCTATAAAGAAAAAAGATAATTAGCAAGAACCTGATATCTCATATAAAATGTAGAATAATTGTGAAAAAAATATATATATTCCTTACACTAATATTATAAATAGAATATAAAAAGTCTGTATGGATCTATAAATGTTTGTTTCCCTTTGACCCAAAAACTAACAAGCTTATTTCCGTGAAAGTTACCAGTAATATTTAGTACACTGTACAAATGGGAGCGAGAGGTGTAACGGCTAAATCTCTCTATAACATACTAAAAGACTTGGGCCTGTCCAGAACTAACATTAGTTCATTCTTAGAACATTCTTCGAAGGCAGCCCTCGTAGGTTCGTTTTAGATTTGGCTAAATAGAGAAAGGAAGTGAGCGTTTAACGCGCGTTAGATATGCCCTTAAACCTACACCTGGGTCGCAAGTCCCAGGCACTGTTGGAGCTCCTCTCCCTGTAACGATGGACCCGGCATACTCACGGTGAATCCATTAAATGATAGGAGTTTTTGTCACTGTATTTAAAAAATAATATTTAGTTATAATTTATTCCAAAATTCCTTATAGTTAATTTGAAAACGAGTTATAAAATTTTTTATTTTGTATAAAATCACGTGACACAGATAACTGTTGGCACTGAGGGTCTTTAGAAGGTTATATAAATTTTAATCTCTAAAACTAATTCCAATATATGTAGACAAAATCACGGACAAAGGCTTGTATTATATATAGATAATAGATATAATATGGTTTATTGTACAAACAAAAACATTATAAGCACAGAATATTACAAAAGACAAAGAGAAGTGCAAAAATAACGTCGCTATTGAGCAATTTCTTTCAGGTAATATCTTGTGTTATCTACTAATACTTCAAATGAACTAAAGGAGAATTTTATTGGAAAAACAATACAAATAAATTATAAAACATACAATTTAATACAACCCAAACAAAAGTATAAATGTTTATACACAAAATAACGAATGCTTAGACACATTTGATGACATAAAAGGATTCATTGGATAGAGAGATAGCTTAGGACGGGATTTGAGTGAAATAATCCTTTGTGTAATCCTAACTTGTTCTTAGAAGATGCTAGGGAAGTAGCACTACTTTTAGCTAAAGCAGTTCCAGAGATGGTAACTTTCTCTGTAAAGGAATGCATTTAATAGGAATAGGAATTGTTATAATATACACATATATATCTTCTTTAGGTACAACCCTAAATATCATGGCAAATTAATTAATATTTCTATTATTTTCTTTAATTTTTTAAATCCAAAAATACTGTTATCAAAATGTACATTTAAGTTAAAATCTTAAAGTAAATTTTGATATAAAATTACGTAAACAATGAAAGAAATTGTAGCTTTTAACATGAAAGTAAATAAACAAAACATTCTGTAACAATAATATCCGTTTGAACCTTATTTATGTTACAGATAAAATCATCAAAGAGTTTTGTTAATGTTAAACTCACTTGTAATTGCTGCTCGCAATGGTTTCGTGGTATCATAATTCCATATTGTGTTTGCTCCTAAAGGTTATCATTGAACTATACAAAGTTATAATGATCTGGATTAAAATTAAATGAGGATTTAAAGCTTATTTTTAATTTTAGTAAAAATGTAAATAAAGAATTTTTTGGTGTATAAATTTAAGAACTTCATCCAAAGCCATTCAGTCATTTTGTGTTTGAAAATCAACTAGTGTATTCCAAGTTACTAAATTTCAATATTAGTCAAAT